ACTACACCTGTTCCATTTGCGCTAAGTATTATTGGTCATTGAAATTGCCAAATGATGAAATGAAACAGATAGAAGAGGTGTTGGTGTTAAATAACTATCCTATAAAATTCATTAGGAAGATCGAAAAAGGCCAAAAGCAAAATAAAAATAATGGTGAAACTAATAATGATAACATAAATGAGAGAGAATATAAGGCATCTACTGTTATACCATATAAGGAGGGGACATCTGAGACCCTATGTAGGATTCTTAATAAAGCAGGAATTAGGGTGGCATTCAAACCTACAAACTCACTCAGGGACAAGCTCTGTAGGTTAAAGGACCCTGTTGGTTGACCCAATTAGACAAATAATATAATTTACAAAATACCTTACAATGACTGTGATTGTGGTCAACTACATAGATCAGGAGTAGTGAGATTATCAGAACATAAGAATTTAGCTAGGGTAAGAATGGTTGACCCCGAGAAGATAAGTAATTTAGAAAAATGCTCAGCAATTGCACTACATGCATTAACAAACAATAGCGTGGAAGAGGGTTAAGATTCTAAGAAGTAATCTATGTAGGTGGAGAGAGAGATTGATTACTGAATCCTGCCTGGTTCATCGAGTCTACACCCAACACATACAACAGAAGTGACTCGATGCAAATACCAGAAATATGGAAGATATATTTACCACCAGTCAAATCAGAGAAGGATAATAAATAATCATAAAATTCTATTTCAATTCACATGCATCATAACATTCTAACAAGTAACTTATTATGACTATAAAAACACTCGTTTTATTTCCCATCTAATTGTAATTGATCAATAACACTCATATTATTATTTCTGAATGTACATTATCCTATATTGATTTTTATTCCAATATCTAATCGATTCCACACATGTATATAAATGAAGGGAAAACGTTGTGTGAGTAACTTGATATGATTATGAGTGGCAATAATTTGTGCTCGAAAGGTCATCACTTAATATTACTGTGTAACACTGTGTGAAAAACTTATCCATAATGAAATTGCTAGTAGCTCTGATAGATGTGACGATAAAAATTTAACTAGTACCAGGAACAGTTACCTCACCTCTCTCTTTCTCTGTTGTCATTACATAGAACAAATCTGCTTGTAAAAGGCATATTCCAGCTTTAAAATAGTATAAAAGGCAAAAAAAGTTTGACATCAATAACATACTGACTTAAAACTGAGGTTTGTCAAGTTTAGATAATTAATTAGGTAATACAAGAATGATCTAATATAGATTCACTGAAAAAAAAACCTTCTTCGCAGCTGAACTACGATTAACCTTCTCCACGAAACCTATGATTCGTATGAACGTGAAGGATAAGCTACCACCGCTGACCTCATCATTGTGTATCTACAAATTCACCTGCTAGTGTGGAGCCAGGTATGTCGGCCGTATCCAGCGTTCACTATCCAAATGTATCACCGAACACTTACCCACAGTCATGGTTTTACAAAGGAGTAAAACGATGCCCCCACAGCTCTATCTTAGAACATCTGATAGATTCCAGACACCAAGCCACACCCCAAACAAAATTCAAAGTTGTCTATAGAACCCGAAGCAGTCTTCCTAAAAGTGTACGAATCAAACTTCCTCAGACTGCAGAAGCAATAGCAACTCACTTGCTAAGTCCTTAACTCTGCATACAGAAGAAGTTCATTCAATCACTACACTTGCAATGGACGTAATCTGTCTCATACCCGACAGGTAAATCCTATCTCTCTCTCTTCATTCGTATTATTTTGTCTTTTCGATTGCATCATTTTACATTTTCAACTTTCCTGTTCTCCACCCCCACCCGATTTCATTTCTACACCTCACCAACACTGTTACTGACTTGAACAACGCTCAATTTTTAGTCATTTATGTTACGTCATCCAATTTATTTGCCCAACTTCAGTCCTAATTTAAATGGCATTATTCCCTACCCCACTTCTACCTAGTCTCTAGCTGTATTTACCTGTTGCTACCCTGATCTAAGTTGAAACATTTTAGTCAATTATATCACGTCATCTAACTTACTTACTCAATCTTACTTTAGTTGCTGTCTGATTAACTTTGTTTCTATATTAGATCATTCTTGTATTACTTGATCAATTATCTAAACTTGACAAACCTCATGTACACACACACAAAAATAATTGTATACAAATGCGATTGTACAGCTACGTGAATGAATTCGCCGGCGAAAAGTTTCTTCACTGAACGTCTTCTCTTTTTCATGTCATTCAATGGGGATATCGGTTAGAGAATCACCGAAACTCACCAGAGAGTACTAGACAACCGTTTCGTCCTTCAAGTATGCGACTCATCGACAGTGGCCACCCACCGGGGTTCCAACCCAGGAGCTTCTAGATACCAGGAAACAGTTTTGCCAATGAGTCCCAAGTAAGGATGAAACAGCTTTCCAGTACTCCCTGCTGGTTTTCAATGGTTCTCTAACTGATATCAATCAGTGACTAAACCGGAAACATTGAAGATGAGTTAGTTGAATACATAAATAGTTTATTCACCTACACGAAAATAAACATATGCAAATTCTACTTCACTCATAATCTTGTGTTTGAATGACAGCAAAATTCTTAGTGCCGTCAACCCTGAGGTAGAAAAGTCGGGGGACATTCAACAATATATTTCCCTGACTGATAGTCTTATAACTTCTGAGGAAGAATAACCTTTGAACTATCTGAACAGCTGCATTTCAGCAGCGTTTTCCTCATTTCATTTTCACAGAGCTAACCTGCTATTAGCTATTACATTTTATGTGAGTTCCAAAAAGTGTTGCTTTTTGTCGAATGCCAAACAAGCATTAATCTGTACTGAAATTTCCTTACCAACCAACCAAGTGCAGATCATTTAACTTCCCAAAACGAGTGAAGTGTTCAACTCACTTGACCATTTCATTCCATATTCTTAAACTAAGATTCGGTGCAGGTGGGGGGTGGGTGGACTCGATAAACTATACACCTTATCAGTATCTCTCCCTAAAACCATTATATTGTTTATGTACCCAAAGTTAGCGAGACCTTCCCCTAGCATAATTTCCCTCCTGAGACGTCGGTTCTTCCGTCGTTTTCAGTGCATACAGAGTGAAGAGGAAGTAAACTACATAAAAGAGATACGTCTGTAATAAAAACTTAATAAGAATGGTGTAATTAGAAATCCGGTTACTTCAGATGACAGCTCTGTGTAACTTCTCATACAACACTGAGTATGAGTAGGATGCTTTGATCAGTAATGTTCATTAATCGGTTCATACATTCAGGAATTATCACAAAACCTTTCCACCGATACAGTCAAATGCCACATACTTAGATAGGGAAGTGTGCCAAGTGTCTGTTCCAAAATAAGTGGATTGGGGTGAAAATTTGATCATAACATAGTTGTTTGCACCTGAAACGGAATATGTGTCATGACATTGCATTAATCATAATGCTTAACATAGGAATTTGTTTTTTTTTGCTTAAAAAACTGATAAGATCAGAGATCTACAATAGCCTATAGAGACTATTCCGAATCCTCACACCACCATCCTTAAGCATTCCTGCAGCCAAATCATATTCAAGCTAGGGTTAGGTGTTGAGCAACTGGTCCAGTTCAGTTACACGTCAAAGCATTCTGTTCAGGGTTCCAGTCTTCTGTCCCAAGTTATTAAAGGCTTATCCCTCTTGAAGATAGTTTCACTTCGCATAGCTTTTTGACAACCCGTCTACTTAGTCAGCCTACCTGTAAGCAGTTGACGCCCGACCGATAGCTGCTACCTTGACGTGGTGGTCGGGCTTGCACATCGCGATAACCCAATAAGCTACACTGGCTGGAACCAATGTTCCTGGAGGTCCTACCATGCCAGGGGGGGTTTGGGCGAAGTCGTACTGCTGGGGAACAGGGATGTAACAGCAGTAAGGTGTTTCCCTCAGATGACCAGCTATGCTGTCTCTCCACTCTGGAGAGAGGGGGTTAGAAAAGGTCGACCCCAAAAATTGTACATCCCGACTTACCCTACGGTGGTCCGTAACCGGCGGTAAGTTTACTAATACGGAACCAAACCAAGAAACTAGTTCATACAGGCCGTGTGTGACCGGCCTCAAGCAGTCGTCCCTTGGGCTCTGCGGTCACGCAATACTAACCCTCTCTCTTTTTCAGGTATCCGAAGAATCAAGCAACTTCCACGGTGTGGGTAGCCGGGATCGAAAAGCACACGAAGCTTTTCTGAGCATCATTCAGACAAGCAGTTGACGAATATTAACTAGCACTGATGGTATTTGCTTTCGTCATCCACCCACATTCCAAAACCAGGAAAAATCTTTTTCAACATCATAAGGTGACATTTTTTTCATTCTCTAGATATAGAAAACCGAAATTCATTACACAACAATGAGTGTAATACATATCAATGTGAAATATGATGCATGGGCTAGGCTAATTAAAGAACTACAGCTGAATTAGAATCAAGAGGGATTTCATCAAAACAAAGCATTTCAAGGACGCTACAGGCGGGATAAAGTCCAAACGTATAAACAACTTGCTACAGGGAAGATCCTGGAGATGTCATTACGAAAATGATGCACTAACATCTTAAATATATGACATAAAAATCAAAAAGCTGACAGACTGAAGAATGCACATTTTCTCATTAATTGCAATGAGGACATAATTAAAATTAACAATAAAAATACCCAGGAAACCTTACTTTAAAATTTTATTAATGTTGATGCTGATATACATAAACAGACACCACATAATATAATATATGTATATATATGTGGTCAAAATTACTTTTTGACAAATGTTAAACAGTAAAAAATGATGAGTATTTGTCTTTTTTACAGAATCTTCATACAGTCTCTGGAGCATGCATGTTGAAACACGCATCCAGACTATGTATGATGTTAAGGATGAATAGATCTTCAAAATTTCTTGAAGTTGAAAAGTAATTCAAATGAATAAAATGTAAAGGTATGTTAAGCAAAACCACGTCAAATCAAACCGCATACAATCCCAAACGAACATTTTTATTTTGAAGTCTTGAAGGTTTATTTATTTTGTAACTTGATTGTGGTGTTTTTATTTATGTAAATTACAAAAGTTAAGCGACACATTGTAATATTGATAATCGCTTCCAAACAATGAAATTCAACTAAAACACTAAATTAATCACAGCCAAAAAAATGTGAAGGGATCCTAACTTTAAGAATTAAGAGCAGCTAAAACTGCCCATAACATTTCACAAGAACCTTCTTTATTTGCTTCTGTAACAAAATCCATTTGTAATGCACTGTCAATTCGCTTTCTGGCAAGATCATATGCACTGTCACTAAGATGTTGTAGAGCACTTTCAAGCACATCAGAATAATGAGATAAGAGAACTAGAGAAAAAAGACGCTTATCAATCTTGTGAACATCTGTGCTCCATTTATTAAGGATAACATCTTGAATACGATTCACTATGCGTTGTTTACTGCCTAGATCAACCAATGGATGTGTCATCATATCAAAGAGGATGAAATTCTGTTTTTCTGTTGTGCATATACGTTTCTCTACTAAATTTTTGGCAATCCTTTCCCTGACATTGCGCAATTGAAGTGGTAATTTAAGCGGATTCCATGTTTCACCTGATAGATAATATTTAAAGTACGAATATCACAAACTTACCACTGAGATATTCGATCCATGTTTTGGTATTTTCCGGTTTGTTTTCTTTTATATGCTTAAGAGCCTCGTCGAGTAGGGCATCACCTGTAGGCACACTTTTCTTGACAACAATACATCTGGAAAGCAAGCTTCTACGACGCATCCCACTTGGCTCTAATCCAATTCTATTTCTCAGGCCAAGTTCAACTAGTATACATCCACGAAGTCCACAACTAACACTGTCATTCCAGAATGACAAATAACCCTAGTACAGTTTTACGAGATGGATAACATGAACTCACCTCTCTGTCTTTTAGTCCTAAAAGTAAAACTTCTTCCATCAAAGTTAACCTGACGTCTTTGGAATCTGTTTCAGATTCTTGTTCCCCGTCAGTATCATTCGTAGTACTTGGTAGACTAGTGTTTTCCTTGACTATATTACGTCGGAAAATGACCGCCTCCTCTGTTTCAGCCATGAGTTTGGAGTCACCAGGTAACGAAAAGAAATGTCTGCACTTTATTACACGCCTGTATAAAATATTTAGGAAGATTCCTTACCTGTGGAAGATTATCTCGAAGTTCTCAACCTAAGTGAATACTTAGGTTGTCGTAAGATCTTCACTAGCAAATTTCCTTTTTAAGGAACTCGTGATTTGAAGTGAGCGATTTCACTTCAGTATTAAACTTGAATGTTGATTCCAGAGCACGCTTGCTTTCTTTAGCTATTTTCTAAAAGAAACAACAATGTTTTTTTTTAATACTAAAAGCTCAACTAGGCGTTTAAGATGGCAGGCATGCACTTCCTCTTAGTTCGACTGATCTCAGGAAGGATGTTGTTGCTGCTCTATTTTGACTGAACTAGAATGCACGTATATCTTAGTACTTCTTCGCGTTTATATTTGTGTCCTAACGTTGTGATTACTCGACATCCACAACGTAATTAAAAAGGCACTTGCGAAGGAATACGACAGTGTATTATTGCAGCAATCAAAATTCAAAAATCGAGCGAGACAAAAGTATCAATTTACAATGAAAGTATAGTACGATTATGAGTAATAAAACGGGTCACTACAATGTCTAGTCTTCTTTTCAAACGATAAAGAGTTAAGACAAGTATCCATTTCGTGAGTGAAATCTCAAAGACAAGGATTCGTACAGAGTTCGCACTAAACTCAAAGAAATTCGCCTCGTGTTTTCCTTTAAAAAGACCTAGTGGATAGGATTTTAACTAATATTTAAGAGTATTGTTTTTAGATTGCGAGATACCCTAAGTCACATTAAATGGACTCATTTGGATCGTACACAACGCAGTTGCACGATATCGGACAAATTTAATACAGTTCACAACCCATCAACAATCTAGTCGTCACCGATTAAGAAAGTAAACCATCTAGACAGCATCCATCCTGGTACTACAGATCGTGTCACTTCATGTAAAGATCTTAGTGAAAGCTAAATCTGTTCTTAAATTTGCGTTGCAAATTATATGAATTAATAACAGTGTTGGCCACAGTAGTCATCTGCATAAGTCCAAGTAATGTGCTTCACTTGCTACCTACTGTGAAAACTATTAAACACCATAATCAGTGTAAACATTTTAATTCGTTTTTGTATAAGCAATAGCCGCAGAAGGTTCTCTTATTTCTAGTACTAATAGTATTAACTTCTACATAAATTTGATATATTATATAAACCTTATAAGATTCATATTTCTCCCTAACTTTGTCCGGGTTTTCCGTGTGAACTTACCAGTCAACATGGTTTGTAGCATTACCACTAGATGACAATGAAATGCATGTCAGAGAAAATAGTTCACAGTGATTATATAATAGTTAATTAACTTCCACTTCGGCATTGCAGACCAGAGCAGATTACCGGAAATAACGCAAAACAAAGGGCTGAGCATATAATTCCAAGGACTTTCCGAAAACAGGTAGATTTTGGTAGCCGAAACATAGTTTAAAGCAAGTACTAAAGCACTGAGTCAATTACCCCATATATCCGAACGTTACACCGTCAAAGTCCCAGCACCCGCGTTGCAGCTCCACTGTCCAATATCCTGTTGTGAGCGAGTACAATCCACCTAATTCACATGTGATCCCCTTTAAAAGATAAGAAATCTTGAATAAATTCTGACGTTAAACCCCATAGCTGGCATAGCTCCTTACGCTCTGATGCCCAGGTTTACCGTAAAGTCGGTGGGAAGCTAAGTTTCAATTCAGATTTCGGATTCAGATTTATTGGTTGATTATAGGAGGCTTGAAGACCATGTCAATTCTTTTTTGGTAAATTTCTCGGTTTGTTCAAACCCTTCTTGAACGAGTCAGTTCCAGGAGTTTATGACTCGGTGTGAGAACCAGTACAACAATATTGTTTCTTCTTGGTTTTTTAACTCTCCTGCTATGTCTTCTAGGGTGTTCCGATCTCGTGGGAAGAAAAAGAGAGAATAGGTCAGGCCTGTAGTCGTTATTTAAAATTTTAAACATTGTAATTAAATCTCCTCTCTGACTACAGAGAGATATTTAAACTGTCTAGTTTTTCCTTACATGATAAACTATTCATACCGAGAACCATACGTTTTGCCTTCCTTTGAACTCCTTCTAGAATATGTGAGTCCCCTTTAAGACAAAGACTGGCCGCTTGGATACAGCTTTCTAGTCTTGACCTCACCAGAGATGCAATATAAGGTGAACATATCTCTTGTGATTCTAGTAAAGGCTCTGCGAATCGCCAATAAAGATCTGAAACCACTTGCAGCCACTGCGTGACAGTGTGCCGTAGTTTTTAAATCATGGCTAACTATGACACCTAAATCCAAATGGGTCTGAAGTGATGGCAGTGTTATTCCCTCTAGTTCGTAGGAACTGATGCTTGCGTGTCCGACGCGCATGGTTGCACATTTCGCTACATTGATTGGGAGCATCCATTATTTGGACCACTCTGATAATTTTTTAAGGTCCTCTTGCAACGTGAGCATACCACTGCCGCCCTTCAGCTCTCTCCAGATTTTTAATTCATCTGCGTATAGGACCATAGGGGAATCAGCTAGCAGAGATAACTCATTGATGTAAAAAATAAATAGGAGGGGTCCGAATACCGCGCCTTGTGGCACTCCGCTACGCACTGCCATCCAGGAAGGGAGTTTTGAGTTGATCCTAACCCTCTTCCCCCTCTCTATGAGGAGTTCCCTAAACCATTTTAGTAACCTGCCCTTGATACCAAGACTTTCTAACTTCTTGAGTAGTCTCTTGTGAGGAACTTTATCGAAGGCTTTGCTGAAGTCCATGAAGACGACGTCAACAGGTCTTCTGTTGTCCCTTGATTTGACCCAGCTTTCTCTTGCAGTGAGGAGATTTGAGAAGCATGACAGGTTTCCTCGGAAGCCATATTTCTCTCTGTATAAAAAATTGCTGCTTTCTAGATATGCCACGATGCTTTTCTTAACGATTCTTTCTAGTGCCTTGATTAAAGAGCTGGTAATATTAGTAGGCCTATAATTTAAAGGGCTTTATCTTGATTCTCCTTTGTGGATGGTGGTTACTATGGCGTCTATCCAGTCACGCAGTAACACTCCATTTAGGAGAGATAGATTGAAGATCGTGGTCAGTGGGCCGGTCATGTGAGCTGATAGAGCCTTGAGAAGCCTTGGATGAAGAATATCGGCACCAATTGATTTCTCTGCGTCTAGTTTTTTTAGGCAGTTGAGCACGATTTCTCGGTCAACGTCGACGGAGTCTACCTTGTGTTCCTCTGATACAGCTAGAGCTGATCTTATGCGGAGTGACGATTCCTGTGTAAAGACTTGGAAGAAGTAATCTGTCATTGCTTCTGCTCTTTCTCGATCTTCTTCGATTGCGTCATTGTCAGTAGTCAGGTTTGGGAGGCAATTGGATGTTTCATTCCTGAAGTCCATATACGAGGAAATTTTCTAAGGTTATGCCTTTGCACTTTGAGCCAAATGTGCTTCGAACTTCAGCCTTGATAGGGGGATTTCTACAATAGCTTTATTCCTAACAGTTTTGCATTATTTCCTGGTCTCAGGAGTCTCAAGTGTGTCAACAGATGCCAACATTTGTGTTTACGTCTGAGTAACTTACGAATCTCTCGCTCAGTATTAATAATTTATATTTCGTATAAACGGGTAAGTTTACAAGAAATGCATTCCATTTTTACAGGCACGACCAGTAATGTTATAAATTACAATCCTGAAGTATCATAAGTAATTACTTTTTCAAAAGTTTAAATTGTTCAGTTATTGTACAAGCAATCAGAACAGGTTCTTATAAATGTTAAATTGTAAGCCATTTACTAAGGTCACCATCAAAGCTGAGCGAAAACCCAAACTTCATTCCGTTTCCTGCTGATAGTTATGGTCAACCAGTAATAATAATAATGTATATTTTCATATAAACATAAATTTACATGAAAATGCATGCCATTTTAACAGGCACGATCAAGTATGATATAATGTCAGATAGTACATTGTCTACGAGTTAATAATGTTTGAACAACTAAATATTTGAATATATATATATAAATACACTCATTGTCTGACCCATGTCGTATCATTATTGAATTAAACGGTAGTCCTCCAGGTTGCGCAGGAAAATCGACTTCATTTCGTTTTCAACCCGTAGTTGTAGGCATACGATAACCAACCAATATTGAGGTAAGTACAACGTTTACAAGGGATAGTAAGCTGTTTTAGAAAAGTAAAGATGCTAAGGTGAATCATCAAAGTGTAATGAAATAGGTAAATGCAATGTATCATTAATAGATGCATTCATAAAGGAAATACAATGGGAGACTATAATCCCTAGGCTGACAAAGTTCCTTTGCAATGTATAATGCTACCCATATAGGTCTTACTATCATGATGTCCACTTTTGGTTTTAATACAATTATCCACAAGCCGGTTGTTTTTATTTCATACCTTTTTGTGTTTGGTGCACAACCGTACCCTATAGAGAATGGGAATAGAATAAGTCGAATCAAATTCATAAAGAGCTATAAAATGTTAGGTTAAGTGGAATATAATGAGCAAGTGAAGACGTTATTAGAAAATGAATGAGATGTGACATTGTAAAGTGATATTCAAAGATCCGACAAAGGAAAGCAAGTTAATTTATAAGATCCCCCATAAATCTGTGCAGAGCCCACGTGGTCGCATCTCAACAACAGGCTGAGCTAATGGTATATGTTTAAAGGTAGAAGCATGATCTATCTAGGCGATCATTGTTATCTTTTTCAAGATAAAGATCCAAGCCCTCATAAAAATCTCGAGCCGTCAAATTGCATATTGTTGTTCCTGCAGAATGGGGCGATTCAACTTAGTGACCACATCTACTGATCAACATGCGCCACCCCCCTCTTTTTATGATGTTAGGCTCTGATTGTTATGGCTACAGCAAATATATTGCTTGATTCCAGACACGTTCGTACCTCACATTCCATTTGCCTAGCTTTCTTAGTGAGTGCTTCCAATAGATCTCCACATACAGATTTATGAACATATTGTATATGTGTGCATGCGTCTAATGAATAGATTAGTTTATAAGATGTTAAACCCTTAAAGAGTAAAAAGAATAGGTTTTGTGAAGAGTGGAGCAAGATTCATCAGAACACTATAGTTAGAGTTCAATGTAGGTAGTATGAACTGAAGGTAAGGTCGGTTGGCAGGACTTATTGTACTAAATTATCATGAGTCTTTTATATGGTAAACATTTGACATTGCAAAGTAACCAGTCTACACATATTATAACGCAGAACCAACAGAATTTTAACATTTGGTTAACAATACTGCAGTGTGTGTATACTGAAGGAGTGTAGTTATTCTAAGAGGGAGCCGTGAAGTAAATCAAACTATATATGATAAGAGTGTAAGCAATATAATAATTTGTATTATCAAAGAATACATTAAGCTCAATAACTGAGTGTTATAAGGGAAACAAGCGTGGTTAAGCAAGAGAACATTTGCTGCATAAATATTTTAATCATTTTAAGTATTGCAATGACAATCAAATGTCAAGAATTGATTATGCATAATTACTAAGTATTATTATATTAGTATTGGGACTAGTGTGCTTTCCGTAGTTAAATATTGAAATGTCATTGTCTCACCACCACCGTATCTGCTGATCAGCATGAGTCAGAATACGTTGACACTGTTTCCGACACCTTGGGACTGACCAAGGGATGAAAGGTTCAGTTACCTGGCCGTAAAGTTGTTCAAACTGGTCCCATGCGGCTTCTACTTGGGACTCTGGGTTTATGTACGAGTTCACTGAGTTGGCTGCTGAGACAGTCGGATTTATATCAGCTTTCCAAACGTTTGGTCGAGCTGCGGCTTTGTCCTGAAAGTGAGAAAAGCGTATTCACTTCTTCCTAGTGGAGGGAGATGTTGTATGAGATCCACATACTCACCATGGGAGAACACTAGGTCCAGAGTTGGACTAAGGCCAGCGAAATGCCAGATTCTAGCAGTTTGTGATCAAAGGAGTTGTCTTAAGATGGCGTCGTATGGCCTGTCCAGTCGGCTGTTGGGTCCTTGAAGTCGCCGACTACGAGACTTCGACGTTTCGGTGTCCAGGAGCCTAGCTTCTCATTGGCGTCCTCCTCGCTAACCGTAGTCGACTGTGTCTGCTTGCTGCCCATCCATAGCTTTATCCCCTAGTACACCTCTTCTTCATGTCAGTCTTTCTATTACTGTTACTGGAGGGCTTGTCCGGCATCGCAGGGGCAGCATAGGTGTCTGGAATATGGTGGGTGCTCTTCTGTGCTGAAGGGCACTCACTCCCTGAAGAAGGTGCATCAGGAACGTGTATTGTGTCGTCGATGACGCTAATCACGTCATCGGTGTCTGCGTAGTAGCCGCTCTTCCCCTTTGATGGAGGACTCTTGCAGTCCAGGAGCTTTAGAGCCTCACCGAGAGTGGCAATAGCTCCCGTTATACGGAACTTAGTCGTATTACAGCAGTCATTGCACAGCCATTTCGCCGGAGGTTTGCAGCAGCGCTTGTATGCTTCAGGAGTTAGATTTGTGCATATGCTATGAAACCATCTCCTGCAGCTATCACACCGCATTCCTTCTTCAACTGGAAATCGGCACATAATTCTTCCGCAGCGGTTCCTTTTGGTAGGCAAGCTTT